TCAGTCCTTGGTGTGCTCACTCCAAAAGTCTTTTTCAATCATCCTGTAAAAAAGTTTCAGAGACAGGAGAAACCATGTTCTCAGGACATCGCTGCTTTTACTGGAAAGGCAGTCATGTTCTTCAGGTACCACATTCTTGAGAGGAAAGAACTTGGTCTGAAGCTCTCTCCTGCCCTAGGTCTCAGTAGTAACCATTGCAGAATTTTGAAGTTTGGGATGTCTCTGTCTGTTATGCCACATCAAATTTTGTTCTATGGAGCTTTGTTATGAGACACACAATAATGTGCAGTGATAGTGTGAGACCTGACTGTGTAGTGCAGGGAAAGAAATAGCCAATCTCCACACTAAAATTTCATATTGGTTTAGTTATCAATGTAAGTTTTGCCCTCACAAAGCACAGTTGATTAGCACTGTGTTCATCCATAAATATTCTGAATGGGGATGGTCAAGTCAATTCTTTATCCCTCTCTCAAGAACAAGGAAAGTCAACCTTTCCTGTGAAGACGCTCTCAACGGAGCCCTTCAAAAATATATTAAACATTTCATATACTAACAGAATGAACACTGGAATATTCAGGTTGGAAAGGACTTGGGAAGTCTCAGGTGGTGCTAAAACTAGGCTATGAGATCAGATCCTGTTGCTCACAATTTTATACAGTTGCATCTTGAAAAGCCCCAGAAGACATTAAGTGCAGAGTGTCTTGGGCAACTTGTTCTGCTATTTGACTTTGTTTCAGGGAAGAAGCTTGCTTTGATTTATATCCAGTCTGACCTTCTTTTGTTTCAGCTTATGCCCCTTATCTCTTGTATTCCTGCCATGCACTGCTGACTCCTGACAGAGCCTGGCTCTCTCTCTTTATAACCTAATTACAGGGACTGGGCAGCTGCTCTGAATCCCCCCCATGTCCAGCTAATCTCCAGGAGGAACAACCCCAGGTTCTCACTGCAGGGCAAATGCTCCATACCTGAAACATCTTGATAGCCCTCCACTGGTCTTGCTCCAGTTCATCACAGCTGGTTTTGTACTGTAGGCCCAAAAATTGAGCATAATGTGCCATTTAATGAGCTCTGAGCAAAGGGACTTCATGTCTGTCCTTGCTGAATTCCGTTAGGAATTCAGGAGATGGCCCATTGTTCCAGCCCACCTAGGTCCTTCTGTCAGTCCTCTCTTGAGGAGATCCATTGCTACCTCCAATTCAGTGTTGTTCTCTAACTTAATAACTGCTGCTCATCTTGCTTTAAACACGTGCCCTCAACTTGTTGTTTTCATTATCTTACTTAAAATTAAATTTTATACTCAATTTTCATCCTGACTTCTCAGTTCCTTTGAGCAAACTGTATATTTATAAAAAGCAGTATACTAAAGCAATTCTTTCCAGCTTATAGTTTGCTTATGATGCATGCAGTTGTTCTTAGCTCACCTTTAAATAGATCTTCCAGTCACAGTGAACAGCAGGAGAAATATTTCTTCAAAATACATTCACATGAGAAGATGCTCTTCCTGGTTTTGGCCACGTCTGTCAAATAAGTTCTTCTTTAAAGAGTATCTCAGATTCAGTGGTTTGCTGTGCAGTCCAACTGAACAGTGTTGGGGACTACTACTTAAAACATATAAACTAAAACTATGCAAGATTTTTACCTTGAGATTAGGTTTTATTTTCAGTATGGATTTTTTATTGCCTTCTACAGAAGCTTGGGAAGACTTTAATGAACTTTTTGAGTCCTAAAATAGATAAATTTCAAACAACAGCATCCCAGTCTGGAAGCCTTATTATTATTGCCATTAGTGGTATTATTTCTCCTGAATATCTTGCTGCTTCACAGCAATGCTGCCTTTCCATATCTTCATGTTGCTTGAACTTCTTCCCATCATTTATTGTTGATTCTCCATAGTGGTGCTTCTTATATGTCTCTATAACTTTAGAACTGACAATTATAACAATCTAATTTTAGTCCAATGTGTGTATATCCTATTGATGCATGTATTGTCCTTATGAAGTTATTTTAAAATTCTATTTGTAGCCAGATGAAGAGTTAACCAATAGAGCTGAAATTTATCAACTTAAAACATACAAAGTCCAAAGCCCCCCTAGTTTAGAGAATATTTGGTGTTAATTTTAGCCTGATCTCCACCTGAGTTTACTCATACCTGCCCCCTTAAAAAGCCTCCTGCTCTCTGAGCTTAGCTACTTTGTGAATAGCGCCGAACATTCAATTCATTCAATGCCAGGCATTTAATTAGGAACACTACTAACCTCTGGTAGTATTCTAGGAAACACAATTTCACTTTCTCCTGTTATAGGTATAAGAAAAAAATATCTGAATCACTTTCTTATTAAGAACTTTGTTTGGCATGTAAGAGAAGATCAACTGTTGACTCACCCATTATGCAAGTGACGTGACCACCTGCACCATCCATCCAATTCTTGAATATCTACAGTGGAATGCATGTTTTCTGAAGCTCAGTCCACACCTGAGCCATCTTTGTCAGTGTTTCTCAGTGTAAGGAAAGTGAAAGGAAATTCCATGGTTCTCAATAGGGTTGTGGTAAGGGAGAATACTTATTTATGAGACTTGTTTATAAAATTCAGCATTAAAGAGACTCAAAGCAACCTAAACTTTAGTAACATTTACTTCTTAAAACCTGGCTACTATCCTGCTCTTTTTGACCTTTTTGCTGAATTGAGTTTCTAGCAAGTATGGCCTTATTCAGTTTTTATCCATGCTTTTCAATTATCCATTCCTTTGTAACTGGTCATAGGTAACCATAATGTAATAGCAGTCATCACCACAGCAGTCTCTGAAACTCACAGCTTGTCTAGAGTGGCATTTATTGACTTTTTGCACCAGTGCAAACTCGCTTGTACAGATGTATTGAAACTGGCTCAGCATTCCTCAAATAAATGTGACAGTGAAGCCCCACAGGCATGTGCTAAAGGTATTCTTGTAGAAGAGACACATGTGACCACTCTCATCTGAAGGATGTTTCTAATTTCTTTAGCAGTGTTCTTTGCACTACAAGATCTTTGACCATGTAAGGGTTGAGCTCCTCCTGTAACTTCCTGAGGAGAATAAGTTGTCTATTCCTGAGAAGGATTATTTAGACATATAAGTTTGGACAGGGCAAAAGTCTCCTCCTTCTCAACAGCTTGTTAGGTCAACTCTTTGCTCAGCAAGATGATGGGTCTGAAATACTGCCTCAGACTCTTCACCTGTAGCTTGGAGCCTCAACAGAGATCTTTATTCTGCACTGATCCTTGATCTCTGATGCCTCAGGGAGATTTCAGAATCTGTCCTCCTAACTCTTGTTCCTGTAATCTCCCGGAAATTAGAAGTCTTGTTGCAAACAAAGATGAATGTGCTCCATGGAATCTCCTCAGCTACTCTGCATCTTGATGCATATTGCAGTATTTTAAAATGGTAGTTTATATGCCAATCTATGAACAAGAAGCACTGGGGAGCTCTCTCATCGGGATAGACCTCCTATTCTGCTGGCTCTGTTAGAGGGTTAGTAAACTTGTCCAGAGACAGGAATATAGAAAATGGGAGAGTTGGAAGAACTAACTTATTCATTTAATAGCATATAAATTTCCAAAATCTTACATCAGGGCCTTGAGTTTCACTGGTGAATTGATATTGTGTTATCCTGTATACCATGATATTAAGGAGGAAAATGCTGATACCAATTTTCTGGCTGTAGACCTCAGGAAAAGATAACACTATACAATAGAAAAGCTGGTTGAAAGAAAGTAGACATGAATTTTTAAGATCTAAAATAGCTTCTATAGCTAAGATTTTTCACAGTCCTTCATATTGCTGGAGAAACTCAAAAGATACATAGATGCTAAAAAAAGCCCTAGTCCTTGGAAGAGGAGACAATGTGGCTGAAGCTTGACTCTAATCTAATTTAGATTTTGTGAGTAGGATGTGGAAAAAATGGTCTTAGTAAGAACTAGTTTCACCATCATGTTTTAATAAGGAAAGTGAATGTTTTCTGTGTGCACTCGCGTGGGAGGCACAACAACAGAAGTAAATCCTTGTATCTCAAGCATTTGAATATTTAATGCAGCTTTCACTCTTTTGGACATACTTTGCTTCAGGAAGTTCCCATTTTAAAGTTCATTATAGACATAAAAATAAACAAATTGCACAAGCATGAGAGAGGCAGTGCAAGCTATACTTCCCAGCCAATCCATGAGTTTTTTGCCTCTATCTTTAATCCAGCTCTGTCAATATAGCAACATAAAATTTCAACAAGAGTATTTTTCTCGCTGAAGAGCAAAATTTGCTAGCACTCTTTATTATGTAATGTACTGAGAATGCAAAATGTCTGGTTACACTGCTAAGTCACCTTTTTGACTTATAAAAATATATTCCCACTGATTACTAAAGCAGTGTTGCTTAAGGCTAATGGCATAATAGATACAAATTTATCCCATAATTCTTTTAATCTCGGTAAATATATTGCAAATGTTTAGTGTCTATTGTGGCAACATAAAGCAGAAGTCATAATTAGCTTAAACAAAACAAATCATAGGAGGGTTTTAAAGTGTGTTTCCAATTTTAGAAAAAAAAAACCTCATAGATTTTTTGTTTTTTCTTTTTTCACATCTTGAATCAGACATCAGCAAATGTGTTTGTATCTGTGCATTTTCCCCAAAGCACTGAGAAGAATGTCGTGTGAGAATTATCTTTTCCATTCACAGTCATGCTGCTATTTGGTCGCATTTCAATCCTCTGAAAGAAAAAAAGGAGGTGGGGGGAATTAAAAGCCCAACAGAACCGCTTAAATTATTTCCAACTTCAATGGTGCTGCAACCCTTAACAGAAGGCACAGCTCAGTTGTGTCCATGGAACAGTTACACATTTCTGAAAAAAAAAAAAAAAAAAAAAAAAAAAAAAAAAAAAAAGCTAATAAAAAATTTTAAAAGCACAGACATTAACGAGCTAACATGAAAGATTTATTACTTACATTTATTTTCTTTTCTGTCTTTTTCTAGTAAACTTCTGCATTCTCCAAATAAGAGAGGCAAATTTCCAGCAAGTAAGCTTCTTTCCCTCCTTCTTCAACTTCATATTTCACTTTCCTCAATTTCTCCTTAAATTATTTAATTAAGGTCATCTTGCTTTTTGATTCATTGATTGTAGTGACATTGTTCTTTATGTTCAGAAGGCAATAAGGAGTGGTCAAGTTTCAAGTCACAGTGACGCTGTTATTTCAAGTACTGAAATATAGGAAAATCTGTTTTATAAGACCCCTGAGTTATTTTTCTGTCTGAAACAACCTTGTCAGTAGGTTGTGTTTCTTGCTGAACAAAAAGCTGTATTTTGCTGCTGAAAAATCAGCCAGAACAGTAAGAATATGTTCATATTTTATCAGCCAAGAAAGTACACATATAACTGAGGACTCATTAACCCTCATCAAGTCACCTCTAAAAAATTTCCTGTTTCACCTCTCCCTTCATGTATTTTGAGTATCAGTTAATATTTTAAGACTATTTTGTCTTGCCTTTTGCCAGGTCTTCCAAATACCAAGCTAAGATGGACATGCCTTCAAATGCAAATTAATAGTTTTCTCCCCTCAATTGAATACTAGAAACATGGGAATGCTTTACATCCTGAAAAATTATAATGGTTGTATAGAAGTCTATGTCAAGGAGATCCTGTTGCTTTTCTGGTGTTTCTAAGATGACACATATTTTTTACCCCTTTCCTTAGTGATTGATGCTATTGGAATGATGAAAATATCAGGAATATGAAAATATGAAGAAAATATGAGGAATATCCTCAAAGTCTTCAGTTCTGTTCAGTATTAGTACACTTGGCAAATAAAACCAATCATAGACACATAGAATCATAGAATGGTTTTGGTTAGAAGGGACCTCATAGATTGTCTAGTTCCAAACTCTATGCCATGGTCAAGGGCACCTTCCACAAGACCAGATTGCCCAAGGCCCATCCAACCAGGCATTAAACACTTCCAGGGATAGGGCATCCACAGCTTCTCTGGGCAACCTCTGCCAGGGCTTCACCACCCTCTATATAATATAACACTATAGAATTTTTTTCTAATATTTTACTTAAACCTACCCTCTTTCAGTTTGAAGCCATTACTCCTTGTCCTGCCCCTACATGCCTTTGTAAAATGTTCCTTGCCAGCTTTTTATAGACCCCTTTTTGGTACTGAATGGCTTCTCTTCTCTAAGGTCCTCTTAGAACCTTCTCCTCTGCAGGCTGAACAGCCCCAGCTCTCCAAGCCTATCTTCCGAGGAGAGGTGCTCCATACCTCTAATCTTGGTGGCCCTTCTCTGGGTGTGTGCCAACAGTTCAACATCCTTTTTGTGTTGGGGGTCCCAGAGCTTGATGGAACACTCCAGATGGGGTCTCATGAGAGAGGAGTAGAGCGGAAGTAGAGGGGAAGAATCACCACCCCTGACCTGCTGGACACATTTCTTTTGTTGCAGCCCAGGACACATTCGGCTTTCTGGGCTTCAGGCACATATTGCTGGATCACGTTGAGCTTCTTGGCAGCCAACACCCCCAATTCCTTCTACCCAGGGCTGCACTCAGTTTGTTCTCTCTCTGCCCAGCTTGTGCTTGTGCCCAGGATTACCTTCAATTGAGATGCAGCCCTCCGTACTTAGCCTTGTTGAACTTCATGAGTTTTGCATGGACCCACCTCTCAAGCCTGTCACAGTCCCACTGGGTGACATCCCCACCTCCAGAGTGTCAACTGCACCACACAGATCGGTGTGTTAGACAAACTTGCTGAGGATGCACTCAATGCCACTATCCCTGTCACCAGCAAAGATGCTGAACTGTTCCAGTCTCAATACAGACCCCTGAAGGGCACCATTTTCACTGCTCTTCTCTTGGACATTGAGCCACTGACCCCAACCTTTTGAGTGTCACCACCCAGCCAATTCTTTATCCAACAAGTTTTCAATCCATCAAATCCACACATTTCCAGCTTATAGACAAGGAGACGCTGTCAAATGTTTTGCACAAATTCAGGTAGATGACATCAGTTGCTCTTCCAATGCCAACCCCTCTGGTTATATCAAGGAAGAAAAATCACAAGTTCTGTATAAAGTAATAAAGTTATATTGAACTTAATATTTTTCTATTATTTTAGAGTGTTTATTATATTTCTATTGCCTACTATGTTGGCTTTATTGTATTTTTACTTTAATACTCTTGAAGTTCAAACTTTTGGTTTTGTTTTCTACATTTATGTTATAAAGCAGAATTTTCCCCTTTGTTCTTTTTAAGTTAAGAATTGTGTCTAGTTTTGTCACCAGCTGGCTAGCAAAGCACTAGGAAGCAGACTTGAATCCGGTAGCCAGCATTTTTTCGCAGTAGCAAAATAGATTCCTTCATCAGGCTATCATTTTTTTTTCAAACATTCAACTGCTACTGTAATTTTTAGTTGTATCCACTAAAATAATGAAAAAATAAATTATTGAAGTTGGTAGTTTCAGGAGAAAAAATATTTATGTAACTTAATTTTATTTAATTTAAGTGGGATGCTCATGACTACTAAAAGCAGTATTTACTCTTCAAAAAGGTGACAGCAAGTATCTTTCTTCTGTACATTCTCACCCAGAATGGGCATCAGGGGTCATTTAATATCTGATGCTGAATTGCTCCTTGTATATCCAGGATGTTGGTAGCAAGTCATCTTCAGCTGTAAGTGATCAAAAATGCTTACAAATTAGTCTATGAGATAATCCTACTGAGTTATGAATATCTAAAAGCATATGAGATCAGTTATAACTGTGCTGTTTTGAATACAGAAATAGATGTTGTATTGATCTTCATAGGCTGATCCTTCTTTTTTTTAAACAATAGATGTTTCCATTGTGATGGCAGTACTGCTGAAGTCAATAACGTTCATAAGTTGCTGATGTTTGGTGCCTTTTAGCTACTCTATCTTCTCAATCTATTATGAGCAAGGCTAGATGGTCTGATATCTGTGCCAGGAAGTATGAGAACTCTGTGTACACTGAAGATCCCTTATATGTCAATAATGGAGTGCAGTTCTGAGAAATATTAAATTATATCCTTATCCAGAAATACCTCCTACTGCCTACTGAAGTCAATGAGAAAGACAAAGCCAGAAGAAAATTCAATGCTTGCATAAATTGTGGGTCCTCAGGCTGCTTTGCAATCATTCTTGTTGATAGCCCAGCAAAAAATAGTATTGGGTAACTGGATTTGGATTCTGCTGTCCATTTACTGGCAATTGTGAAGTCCGCCACCAAAATATTTTCCAGGTCATTCTGTTTTCAGTGAGTTACGTCTGCAATCATATTGCTCTTCTAACTTATATATAGAATATTTATGCGTATGGAAATGCATACAGAAATCACCGAGTTGTCCACTGAAATAAAGTTGTTTCTGAATGAAATGAGAAACTGCTGCATGAGGTCATTCTTTGTACATCATAGGTCTGAGGAAGAAATGAACGTCTCAGGTTGAGTCTGTAGGAAGGTGTAGGTCTGGTGTTTTCCTGTATTCTGAAAGAGTGCCCCTCTGGCATGAAATTGAGTGCATAAATTTAGGTCTGTCTGAGATGAAGTGAATCACACACAACACTCCCTGCAGTCCCTCAGGTCTCACTTGGAGGCTTTGTGACAGTGTTTCTTTTGTGAAATTAAGTAAGATGATTGCAGCCCCAGGAGATGGTTACAACCATGTATTACCATTTCTGGAATGATTTGGAAAAATTTAATCACCAGTATGTCCCAGGTATGGAAAAATCCTGCACACAGTAACCTCTCCTATGTTTTATGGGTTATCTATGTTATACAGGGAGGATTTCTCTCAGTGCAACGCATGCATTTACATTCCCCCAAATTCCCAAACAATATGCCATCTGGCAGTATCTAAACTCCTGCTGTTCAAAGGCAGAAACAATAAATAATAATTTTTATGTATTACAGTGTGCTGTAAGCCTTTCTCATCATGGGATGCTCTTAAGTTTCCATCTGCATTGCAGTTTGGAAATGTCTTGTGACAAGGTTCCTGGCTGTATTAAGAATTTGTATTATGAATTTTGGTAGTAAATGATGCACAGAAACCTGAGGAATAAAAGTAAGAAAAGAAAACTTAAAATTCAAATGCAACTTCTTTAAACATGGCAGTATTTAAAGCAGAAAATGAATCCTTTTTCCATAGAATAAAATTATGGTATAACCTTCTTTCAAAAGTTAAGTCATAATGAACTCTTTTGTACACCTACAGGAAAGCATTGTATTTTCATATGCTCATGAATGTGGAAAACAGGGATCTGGAAACTTTGACAATGGTAGTTAGCATCTCCATATGTATTTTTTCTGCTCTGTATGTACTTGTTAGTACCTACTTAGGTAAATGGAAAGATTCCTGTTGATTCCAGTGCTATTTGACTCTTCTTCTATATGTTATTGAAGGGCTTATTTCACCATAATTCTGTTTCATCATCTAATATTACTCTTATGTATGGATAGATAAAGAGATTCCTAAAGTCAGTGTTTCACCCCAGATGGTGCAATTAGGTGATTCTTGATTTTGTCTTATCATGTCCTTGAAATTAACATCTTCAGTGCATAGTGAGCAAAAATAATTGTATATTTAAAAAATCATATAACTCTCAGTGATAGGAGATATTTTTACAAATGAAAAAAAGAGTTTTTCTTGTTCACATGCAGTCAGCTTACTGACTGTGAACACAAATGATGTAAAGATGTTTTTTTACGCATCTTCCCTCTGTTTAATTTGCTGTTCTAACCATTGTTTTCTTCATTAGCTTAGTTTCATCTTAATAATTTGTTTTATTTTCTTTGCTATTACATTCTTGGCCATTAGAAAGTCCTTTCCTTCCAAAAACTTCTTTGCCCAATTTGTTTCCCCTAACAACAACAATAATAGGGAAAAAATACTCCTTTTAATAGCAATCTAAGGGCCAAAATTCATCTTTTGGTACTTCTACACAGTCACCCTTTCTGTGGGATTTGCACTCACACTGCTAAGGCTAAGTATCTGGGCTTATGCATCACAGCCCACCTCTCCATTTAGCTACAACAAGCAGCAGTTACAAAACAGAGTAAGACCTCATTAATGTTTTAAAAGTAAAGGAATAATATGCTTAATCACCTTGAAGTATTTGCATACCTATCCTTCCTTCACATCCTCTTGTACTGTACCCGATGGCTGATATTTCCTCACATCATGAGGCTTGGTGTAGCTAACACAGTAAGTGGAAAAAACATGTATTTTTTGACTTCTTGTCCTTTCATTATAGCACAGATTTTGCTGTGGGGAAAAAAAGTTGTTCTAACACTCCTGTTCATTCAACCAGCTCCTGTGGGAAGGGCCCTGGTGCACTCACCCATCCCTAGCGCTGGTCACCCAAGAGTTATGGCACTCAGAAGGTTGGCAGAGCATTGCTGGCTCCTCTGATGTGGTCAAAGGAGAGCTTGTGTGGCCATTGGGACAGACAAGTTGTATTGAGGGTCACTGACTGTGAGAGTGCCTTTTAAAATTCCTAACTTCTTGGCCCAAGCAGTATACAAGCTCAAGGGTGCTGAGGGTATCCAGAGAGAAAGACAAGTCTTCGTTAGCTGCCTATAACTTTATATGACATCAATGGTGAGCAAAAATGTTCAATAGTAGCTAGTGACAATTCAAAGAAACCCTTCAGTCTGATTATCCTAGCAAATACTACCCTGCTAAAAAATTGGAAACCAAACAACAAAAAGAATACATTATTAAAAGCTGGACAAACTAATCTTTCAAATAAAGAGATCCAAAGCCACGTTATGTAATACAATAACAACATTAATTTTCACTTCTGTAGTTATTTCATGCCTGGGTCTTTTTTAAATGCTAAGAGTGTTCGGCACAGATTATGAGCTTACATTTTCAAGGTGAAATTGCAGAAGACCTACTGGTTTTCAAAGCCACTACCATACTGAAAACCTAACAGCACATTAGTTTGTATTTTGATTTATTAGGAAGCGGGCTTTACTGAACTCACTGGATGGAATCTAAATTAATCTTGCTGGATTTCTGCTTTGCACCTGCAGAAGCAGCTTTAGAGAGCTATTGCCCTCTGTAGTATATATACTGTATATTGCCTGTATAATCTTCTCAAGAAAATAGTTAAATAAGAAAAATAATTGTTTATAAATGGAGAAAATTGCAGTACTAATGTATTTTGCTGTAACTGCTCCCTGCTGAAATTTGAGACCATGGTCCCAGTAAAGTTTATGGGACAGCTCAAAAAAACATTCGAGTATGCAATGTTTTTCTTACTATGCTGGGATTTACTCCTAGAAGTAAAGTGATAGGTATAGTGATTTGTTTGGGGTTTTTTCCTTTCAAAATATTATTAAGTTTATTGCTTAGTAATTGCTACAATTACTATAGGTTTCTTTATTACAGAAAAAAAAAAAAAAGGACTGAACTGAGAGTGGAAAAAAATGATAATATTTCTTTTTTGCATAAGAAAAAGGTACGATTTAGAGGACCATAATACTGCAGGTACTTATTTATGGCATACTAATAACTATGAGGTAATTTGTTAAGTTCCCAAATACTGGCAGCTTTTGATTTAAACTTATTCAGACCTTCACAATTTTGGCTGCCTAAAAACTGATGATTTAAAATTCACAATCCTTTCCAATTAACTGAGACAATGAGTCTACTGTTTATGCCACTGTATTAACCTGTTCTGCATTAGAGAAGAAAAGGTTACATTACATTTTGTAGCAGCATATTAGGCTTGTATGTATTTCAGGCTCCTCCATTTTGATTTATACCAGCTCCAGTTTGGGTTTATTGAAGGGAGAGTTCACTCTTTCTTTTTTTCCTCCCACTCCATTCCCTGGGAGCTATAAATGCCCCAGTTTTCCCGGTATTTTTTTTTTTTTTTTTGGTCCCAGGTACCCAGCTGTGACTGAAATAATGCTCCCCATCTGTGTTCATTGTTCGCATTGATGGTGTCTGTGCAAGTCACCAGAGCTTTCCTAATAAGGTTCAGTTTGACCTTTCAGAAGTCCTCAAATGAAGAGTCTAAGTGCGCTCACCGGCCTCAAAGAGATAGACTTCTCTGCCACTGCCCTTACAAACAGCTGTAAGAAACAGTACAGAATGACTTGGCTGGTTCAAAAACCAAAGTCAGCCCTCTGAGCTGTTCAAGAGTGCACAAGCATTGGGCAGCCAGGGGCTGGCTGGCTGCTCTTCCCAGAAGGGTGGTGCACCAGATGGAGAGAGATCCTGGAGAAGGGAAGCAGACAAAGAAGTCAGTCAAAAAATAAGTCAAGGAAGGAGAGGAACAGAGCATGAGAAAGTCTAGAGAGATGCCCTTTTAACTGACAGGCTGATTTTTAGGCAGGAAAGCACTGTCTGGTGGTTTCAGTGCCCATGTGTTCAAGGCAAAGGCTTCAAGCCGCACATGCTGACTTTGGATGTGGTGACTCCTGATTCTCCTTTTTCGTGAGAGCATTGGAACTGGTGTGACAACACGGAGAGCCAAGTGAAAGAGCTGACCCACCTGTAAAATAATCTTGTTTGGTGGTTTGCTCTAATGATTTTGGCTGGCATGGTTAGTACTTGGACAGATTAGTTTTCTCACCTGGGTCCCCTCAGCCCCAGGAGCGCTTGTGCTGACACATGCAGGGGAGATTCGCTGCCAGGATGGTGGGCGAAGGTGGTGTCTCTTCTGTCAGACACTTGTGCCTAGTTGAGGCTGAAACTATGGCTTACATCAACAAAGTATTTCCTGTGTTCATGAAAAGAAATTAAGCAAAGCTCTTTTTTTCTGTTAGGGAAGCTTTTTGACTGAAGCCGCCCATGAGATCTGAAATCTTAATAGTAGCGTGGTTCAGAAGCGGAGAAAGTTGATATTTTCCTTTTGGTTTTTATCAAAGGAAGAAGAAGAGCAAGGAATTCAGATTAATAAAGCAGATACTGGTAGCTACCTTTCACGTGCCTAAAGACAAAGTGGAATAGTTTGTACTAATTTATATATTATTTCAATATTATTTCATTTTAGCAAAGGACAAATGAACAATTATGAAAACTAAGACATGTATCTCCAAAACAGAAATTTCAATTAAAATATTACAAATATTCTCAGAAAATATCCTGACAAGTAATAGAACTTAGTGATGGACTTCTAGGTATTTGAACCGTTCATTAGAATCTGTGCATTTTAAGGCTCTAAGTTTCAATTATTTTAACGATAGCAACATGCTAACTTGCAAGCAAGGTAATTATATATGGATAAACTTGATTATACAGAGTGATTCTGCAAAGTAAATGGAAATTAATAAGTTAAATTTTGCAAATAAATTCTAAACCCAGTATGAACAGAGATGTGTTGCTACTGTGTGATTCCTAGTAGTTATAAGTATTAATGTGTTCTCCCCTTTTTGCAGGTTTTGACCATAAATTCACTGAGCAAGACATATGGACTTCTATTCAATGCTATGAAAATTAACCAAGGCACATTAACTTCAGGAAATTTTCAAAGGTACAAAAATAATATGTGTATTCAGTTATTAATTTAAGCAAATAAGCCATCAGCTTGTGCTACATAGTTTAAGTATTATGTCAGGTCAATAATTAAGCTGTAGTAAATCTGGAGGTTCTATTCTGCCAAACTTTAAAGGCTCAAGACTAACCCAAGGACCCTTCACATTTTAGTAACCCAGTGAATGATTACACAGATAGCTTTTCAGTCGGAGGTTTGCTACTATTAACTTTCTATTTTTTAGGACATCCAGGAATTCTATGTTTTGTGGTTATTGAATAATATCCTGTGAAAAAAAGGTATGGTGTCTTGCATTTATGAAATGGAATATTTTAATAGGCTTCAATTATGCCAAGATAAAATGCAGTTTTCCTGCAGGGATAGATATACATTAAGCACAAATAATTGTTTGGAATTTTCCCATGTTTATGTGAACATGACGATTATGAAAACTTGAACCTAATCTCACTGTATGCAGCTGGTCATGGTAAAGAAAAAGCATTTTGCAAGCTGTCTTCTGCGACTCTGCCAAAGCAATTCCAAAGTATCTGCGGTAGTTCTGTGCTTTCAAGGTCTGGCTGACTTTTAGGTGGAACTCCTAGCAAGTTGTGTGGTGATCTCGTGATGTTGGAATTATGGCAATAGACTCAGTATCAAATCATACATCTCAGCTTAACAAATAAAAATATAAAGCCCCATGACAGAACACAGAGCAGGAAGTTTGAAATGCTCTGAGATTCATTTTTTCCCCTCAGCTATATTATTTTCTGTCACCTCATTTACATAAAGTATTTCTGGTTAAACAATTTGCAAATGCGTGTGATTTAATAGCAGGTATATATGTGGCAGAGGTAAATTTGCACTTAAAATTAAGACATTGCTAGCAGTGAAAGACAGCTGGTATGCATCAAGTTTATTTCACATGCAAGTCTTTGTATGGAATTTTCTTGGAACCAGTAACTTTCTGACATGTTAGCTCATAGTTTATTTTAATTACAAAATATCTAAATTTCCAGATCTTCAGATAATGTTTCATAATTACTAGAATTAACATAAGATCATTCAATCTACTTTATTTTCCCTCCAGATGTGTGGCTGCATAATGGTCCCATATAAAGCAGACATTATTTTCTTGCAGCAGCATACCAGAATATCCAGGCTTTCCTACATCAGTGTTCTAGTAATTAACTTAATTTCCATCTTAATTTTCTCTCCCAGCTTTATCTAAATTTTTACTACATTTATCTATAGGTTTATCTATAATTTTCCTACATTTCTCTTGAAGAGGTTAACCAGACTAAGCCCAAGAAAATGCCACAGATTTCCACAGAAGTGGAAGTTATGAAATAACATGATGTAGATGAGTGCTCTTGATTTTGATGGAGAGAATGGATGAGATTATTATTTGCCATACCTTTCAGTCCTACTCAATGAAATGACAAGTGATCACTTTGGTCATGTTCCCAGTCTACCAAAGGCAGGAAGCCTAAATAGTCGTAAGAAGGATGTTATATTGGAATAATTCCAAGAATTTTACAGATCCAAAGGTTAATTTTTATTTTTTTTTTAAAGCTTGAATACTTTTTATCTAACATGAAACTTCAGTGATTCACTCTTCATTGACTAAATTATCTGTTCTAGAGACATTCTACATGTTTATAAACATACCTTTTCTCTACAGATTTAGGGTCATAGTGTCTCATACAATGAACCTATAACTGTGAATGTACATAAACGTAATTCATATTTGTCAGTATTGATGCCTTTAGAATATTTATTATGAAATAAACTGTTATCACTTGCACCATGGATAAAATATTTGGGAAGTTCCAAGAAAAATGTAAAGGCAACTTTTTGACCTGAAGCCTAAAAATCATGTCTCTTATGTATATAATATATTAATGACACACTCAGGGCAAAGACTTTTCTGGCACATTATCCACTGACATTCCACAATCCAACTTCAGTTAAACTGAATTCTACTGAACCCTGGGGTCAGATTTTTAGAAATCTAGTTTCATTACTGTCCACATATGTAGTCCAGTTCCAGTTCCAAATATACATATAGGGTTCCCAGTTTACTTTTGGGAAGTGAAAGAGCTTGAAACACCCATTTCAGTCCATCTGCAACAAGCATGATTTTGAAATGAGAATTGGAAAGGCTTGCATGTTACAAGACTTAAGAGAGTGAGTCTATGAGGTCAAGAGTGTGGGGCTGACCAGCAGTGTGTCCAAGACAAACCAGGGTAGATGGTCAGATGGGTCTCACAGAATAATTCAGAAAAATCCCAGCAGTCAGTAGTTTGCTAGGAGAAGCTGGGAAGCTGAGGAACAGATGCATAGAACATTGGAGAATGTAACATTTTCTTGCAGTTCAGTGCATCACCCTTTGTTTTACTGTGTGCACACTGATGGCCGATCAGCAAGGTATTGCTGAGAGTCCTGCTTGCAGGTGTACAGCAGAGCTACTGTCTTTTTGTAGGGTTTCTTTCTCTGTGCTGTGATACCTCATTGTTATTATTCGTTTACACAGGATGTAGGTGGGAGGGTGGGGGGGGGTGTCTTCCTAAATGCATCTGTTATAGCTGAAAAAATGAGAAATTAGAAAAATACACAAATTTGTCCCTTCTTTTCCTCTCCATTTTGTGACTTTCTTGCCTACATCACATTTCTGATCTGACCTGGTAAACAAGAGCCTTTTCCATTTGGTTTTCTTTCCCATCACACTCTCACACATAAGCCTGTCCCATGTTTCTCTATATACGCTGTTGATTAAGATCTAGAGGGAGTTTTTTTACAGACTGTCAATACAGTAGAAAGTCTGTGATCTCAGAGTTTTCCTTTTAGAAGCTGTGAAAATGAAGATTCTTGGCTTCATTTTTAGTATATCTGTAACCTACCACATGTCACTTAACTTGTTTGCCTTTGTGGCTGCTCATCCCTATTAAATTAGTTCACACCAGTAGAGCTGCAAAGAGAAAGGATGAGGTTTTTCTCCTTCGTTTCCTCCTGCTACTTAGTGGGAAGGGGTTCTCAGCTGCTGATTATGTTGCTTCATTGGTTTTCTTGCTGGCATGTCTCTCTGCACCGCATGCCTTAATGAGGAACAGGCGGTCAGCAGTTTGGAGGGCAGTGTGCTCAGAGTGTGCTCGGGAAAAGAGACACGGGCAAGAGTAAAAGAGATCCAAATAGCCTCCTTTCCACCTGCACCAAAATTGAAGGCAGGAACTTTTTTTCTAAGTTTACTCCTAGGATTTCAAGATTAAGTTGTCAAATTGCTAGTCTCTGGAAGTATTTATGAACATTTTCCTACGTTTAGGTGGTGGGGTTTTTTTCCCTGTAAGAGCCAAGTCACTTCCTTCCTGTCCAGTATCAGTCATTACTTACTGGAGAAGTATAACCATGTAAGGGCACCAAAATAAAACATGCATAATCTGATAAAAATAATATTTCATGTAAGAAAAGTTGTTAAGGTGGATTTTGTAGAAGAATTGTGTGTGTCATTATTTCCTCTACCTCCTCCCAAAGATTTCCCATCAGATGAACATTTAAGAACTGTGATTTTTTTTCAGCCATACTCTCCTACTGCCAGTAACTTGATCCAAAAGTATCTCAACATTTTTCTTTCAAAAATGCAAAGTTGCCCTATAAAGTAATTTGGATTTTAATTATTGTAGAATCACAGTCATTGAATGGTTTGGAAGATCATCTAGATCCAAATCCCCGCCCTGGGCAGAGGCACTTTCCACTAGACCAGGTTGCCCAATGCCCCATCCAAGCTGACCTTGAACTCTTCCAGAGATAGGGCATCCACAGCTTCTCTGGGTGACCTGTTCCAGTGCCTCACCATCCTCATAGAGAAGAATTTCTTCCTAATGTCCAACCTAAATTGATTTTTTTTGCATTTTAAAGCCATTTCCCTTGTCCTATCCCTACATGGCCTTGTAAAGTGTCCCCCTCCGGCTCTTCAGTACTGAAAGGCTGCCCTAACAAATGTTCTTCCTGGAACATTTTCTTCTCCAGGTTGAACAATCCCAGCTGTCTCAGCCTGTCTTCAGAGGAGAGGTGCTCCAACCCTCTCATCACCTTAATGGCCCTCCTGTGGATGTGCTCCAACAGCTCCATGTCCTTCTAGTGCTGAGGACCCCAAGAGCTGGATGCAGCACTCAAGCGCGGTGTCATGAGAGTGGAGTAGAGGGCTGAAATCACCTCCCTCAACATGCTGGCCACTCTCTTTTTGATGTAGCCCAGGGTACAGTTGGCTTTCTGGGCCCAAAGTGCACATTGCTGGGTTATGCTGAACTTCTTGTCAACCAAGTCTTTACCTCAGGGCTGCTCTCAATCCTTTCTCTGCCCAGTCCATATTTGTGCTTGATCCACATGCAGGACCTTGCACTTGGGCTCATTGATCTTCATGAGGTGCACGTGGGAACTAGATAACATGATATTGTCTGGGAAAGGAAGAAAAGAATACTAGAAAGGAAACTATTTTGTGACTTATACATTAAGACCAAAATGACAATGAAAACTGTTAAAGCAAAACCATGCAAACAGGCAGAACAGCCTAATGCCACACAAGTGGTGAGATACATATTAAAACTGTAAATATTTTTTGAGTGAGGTATATGGGTATATGAGTAACATTTTTTTTTTTCACAGTGGACTTTTTTGGACATCCAGAAAGAAATTATGCATCTGAAACTGCTTAAATCTACTTGCAGTGAGAAAAGTATTTGGACATGTGTTTATATATATGTGCTATTGACATAGCAATGAAGCAGCTTACTGACTCAGGGCCAAGAAACACTAATGGTAAAACTTTCCAGCATTTGTAGTTGCCTTGCATTTTAACATAAGACATAATTTCTTATTGTTGCCTCAAGTTGTAATCATTTTCCCTACTGCCTCCTTACTTCTGAGGAAGAATTCAACCATGTTTCACACTTTATTCCTCATGCGGAAGAAAAATTAATGGGTTTCCAGCCAGTTTTGTGGTTCCT